GGAAGGGACAGCTCTTTGTTCTGCCAGAGAGGAGATCTCTGGGGAAGGCAGTGTTATTCTTTACCAGTGTGATACCAGCACGGCTCGCTGCCCACAGACTGTCTGCTTCCATTTTACTCTCTTTTGTCATGTAATTCTCTGGCTCGGCCGCTCCGATAAGAGTGTGTAGTTTTCCAGATAGCAGCGTGGCCAACAAGATATGCTGGCTGGAAGGGAGTGGTTTTGTTTCCACAATGAAAACTATTTATCGTTGCGTATTTGTGCGCAAGTTTTTACCTACCCACTTAGAATTTATTAACCCACTTCTCATGTCCTTGAGGGGAGTCTGGGCAGACAAAAAGCAGACCTGCAGACACACACTTAAAAAAGCATAAAACACACAAATGTCTAAAAAAGGACAAAAGGGAGCATTGCCAACCAGGCCATCAGCGAAAGCAAATTACTACCCCCTACACACCAAACCGTACCAACACACACACACACACACACACACACACACACACAAGAGTACAAACACACACATACCACCTCCCTCCTCCTGCCGTCCGACTGTCAGGGTAACCATGACTACTGGCACAATTCCTTGCTAATAACTCACACCACATGCTGACATCTCCCTCCTTTTTCTCTCTATATCACACACACACTCACACACATTTATATATCTATACACTGCTTTGGAAAAAAAAAAGAGAGCACTTCAAAATTCCTAGTTTCTCTGGGTGAACTGGATTTATTAGGTGTGGGTTTGGGTAAAATATATATATATATTTTTTTTGTTTTGTTTTATAAAGGTTTGAGAACATTTTGTCTAAATTTAGGGCATTTTAAAAGCAAATGTTTTCATGTGCTGTAATTGGATATAGGCATGGGATGATAACCAATAACCGAAAAGTCAAGGCTTTAAAATTGTATACTATACCAATCCTAGGATATGTGTAAGATTTTTTTTTGTCTTTGTTTTTTTCTTGTGTGTGTGTGTGTGTGTGTGTGTGTGTGTGTGTGTGTGTGTGTGTGTGTGTGTGTGTGTGTGTGTGTGTGTGTGTGTGTGTGTGTGTATCTCCAGCAGAAAAGATATCCACAGATGCCATTTTAAATTGTAAAGAAATCTGTGTTTCTGAAACTAATGAAGACAGCAGACATCAATGATTGATTTGAATTGTTTAGCCTGACATGTTTATTGTTCTAAACTATTTAAACGGTTTCTTAAAATAAACTATATTGTTAATAACAGTTTTAGTTTTTTACCCAGACATTTAAAAAGAAAATATTTTAGAGCAGCAATCGCAATACCGTAAAACTGTAATATTTATATCCAAGATTGTCATACCGTCAGAATCATATACCGGCCCAGGCCTGATTGGATATCTGGGTTTCCCCACCAAAATATTGATTTCTCCCCTCTTCTTCATTTAAAATATTGGTGTTGTGTAAAAATAATAATAACATACAAATACAACTGAAAAAACATATCTACGTATAGAGATTTTAATTAGAAATTTGCAAGAAACGTCATGAGTGGTTAACAAACTTAAACAAAAAATACATTTTACTTTTTGGTGGGCTTAGAAACTAAATATGTATCAGAAAAAACATGACAAATATTTGTTTTAATACATTTGAAAAAATACAACAATTATTCAATGATTGGACAATATTCAACATTTTTAATTAATAAATTAAAATAAAGCATTTATTAAAATGTCACTGTTGTTTTCATTCTCTTATCTTCGGCACTTTACATTTTCATGGCTGTTGCTCCCAGTCATCTGAAGGCTGAAGGCATTGACTGAGTGGTTGACAGCTGAAATTGACCAATCCATTCGCATTCTGTTCTAGAGCAGTGTACCAATCAGAAAAGTTTGAGGGCGAGGCCGTTTTAACCATTCCTAAGCACTGCATTTCATGTTTTAGGTGCAAAGATACATTCTGCGTGAATGCCTCCTTAATACATGTATGCGGTGAACATTTTGCAGTGAAAGCCGGTCGCATGGCAACAATTTTATGCACACACACAAATGCTCCCAAATATATTTTGAAGTCGCATAGATAAAATATGTGACCAAAATTGTCGCGATTGAGCCCTGATGATTATATAAAACAACATGAAACCATACTATGAGTGTAATTCTATATACTCTGCATGTGTTTTAACAATATTTTTAAAAGATTATCCTTTTTTATTATAGACATTCTTACTGTAAATGTCACTGACCCAGAGAATCTAGACTGCAATAGTGAAAGCCTCCCAGATTCTCTGATTTATAGCTATTTTTTCCTGTAGCGAACGCATCCAACTTTGCCGATAATGGGGTTGTAATTTATGCACGTAAGTGCATGTACAAACTGTACGAAAGTGTAAACAGCCAACCAAAACAAAACTCCCAAATCGACATCTCTCATAAACAGTTGCCTTGAACTACATCATATATCACTTTCCTGTACTTCCACTCCTAAGATCTCTTATAAGACGAGTGCACACTTAAACATTTCAGGGACAACCATCTGGCAAAATCAGGGTTATCCAAGGACACACTGCTGCTATTTTTTAGCACCTGGACCTGAACGATCCGTGTTTGATTCATGTATATGAATTGATTAGTTTGAAAACCTTCCAATAAGGGCACAGCCTTTGTGGACTACAGCTGAGAGCTTTTAGGGAATGTTTAAGAGTCCAAAGATCTTATCAAATGTGTTGTTTGATCAGCACTGGCCCATCTACCTCTAGAAAAAAAAGGAGGAATAAGCAACGTCTACACTCGATTTTAAAGGATGTAAGACTCTTTATTAGCACTCAGAGATCTCTGCTTGCAGGTGAAGCAGGTTGAGCCAGATGATCCGGTCAAGTTCTACTGCAATCACGGAGCACCCTCATATCCGCTTTCTACATGCGAGCATAGAGAGCACTGCATTCCAGGGGAAAACTCATCCTGAGGCAAAACACTTGAACTCGAGAGCGGTGCGTGCAACTGGAAAAATGATGAATGGTTCAGCACACCGTAGACAGCTGTTGAACCAAGGTCAAAATCATCACCTGGAGTGTAGGAGACAATCGTTATCTCCACAGGACCACAAACGGTAGAATTTCTTTCAACATAATGGGATCATCCCTTTGTCCGAATATGCATACCATCCGTACCTCCATACTACTAGGCAAAAAACAGTACATACAGTAAGCCAAACACTATGTCCGAATTCAATAGACATTTTACTTTATGACTGTTGTAAACTTGTGATCCAGCATGACTAAGACAATAACCTATCCTGCCATCCGAAGACAAAGTTGAAAACCACTTCTACAACTTTAACCAAAAAATATTGGACTGACTGTGTAGTTACTGCACTTTGCTTTTGTGTGGCAGTGTCATAATCAGTGATCCTAAACTGGCATGACGTAAGCAACACATCTTAGGAATGTGATTTCTACCATCAGGAATCCCAAGCAATGTCCGTCGACAGTAAATGTATGGCATACGAGCACAAAAGAAAGAAAAAAAAAGGGCCCTATACACACAGTAGGCTACTGCTCTGGGCCCCCTCTTATTTCTGCTCATATTTGTTTTGTCAATTCAAGTTTACAGTAGATAGTTTCAATCCAACAGGCCTTAGAGGTTACATTAATAGCAGTGAAGCAACTGAACTTAATGCCATAGGTTATGAAGTATGCCTGAATTTCATTGATATTACACTAGAACCTATTTCTCAAAGTGAGGTTTAATCAAATATAATACCTATTAAACAATATCAGCGTTTGAAAACACCACGTTCAAAGATAATTATACAAAGTCACTCAACTGCAGTTAGCAAGTTCATTCATTCATTCATTCATTTTCTTTATGGCTTAGTCCCTTTATTAATTAGGGGTCGCCACAGCGGTATGAACCACTCGGTTAGAAGTGAATGTACTTTAATCCCTAATTTAAGTTTTCAGACAAGTAGATTACACACAAAGTTAATGCAAACACACAAACAGGCATGGTGTGAGCTCACCAAGAGTGCTTAAGATCTACGAAAATTCAGACTACTCAAAGTGAACCAAAGCAGGCCAAACACTTGCCATGAGACTCAAGGCCTCCATCTGAAAAAGCATTATGAATTCAAATGAACTTGATTTGCTTCCAGGCCATGAGTGACGGCAGACAAAAAGCCTGGCGCACACAGACCAAAAGCAGCTTCTGGATTGCTTTCCCCTATTGACTATAATACTTTTAAGAATCCCCCACGAGTTTGATCAGACTGACAGAGACGTGAGGTCGACAATCTTATTTTTCCAGGCTCTGCAGCCCAAGGTATTTTCAATAGGCCTACAGAGGCCGTCTTTTCTTGATCTGAAACTAACGTGGACTGGAAAAGAAGGGCCCATGCCAACTGAAACGGCTTTGAACAGAAGGATAGGAGACACATTGTAACATTTGTGTCACACCACTCTGAGTAAGTAAAGTTAATGCATTACACACAAATTGGTACGGCTGCACAAGCAGTCCAAAAACTTTATTGGCCACAGTAGAACTGAAAAGCTATTGTAGCCAGAATGAAAAGCACTCTAAACACTTTTCAGCTCATCAGCTGAAAAACTAACAGAGTTTCCAAACATTTCTATGCTTTATGAAGAAGCTCGTCTGGACAGGAATCAGTGGTAAATCAATACCTAAAAGTTGATCTGGCTGGAATAGCAAACCATGATTGTAAGTCACTCCGAGCAAGTTTGACAGCTCAAGGAGAATCAAACAGTCACAACGTGTGAATTCTGAGTGGAAGCACCTCCGTATCTTTCCCCTTGGTGGGTAGGGTCTGTTCCACGAAGTTAAATCTCGCAGAACCGAGCTCGAATGCCAACTCAAACAAGTTTACCCAAACCCTGCCAAGGGTAGATGAATCAACTCAGCATGAGGTTTGGAAAAATGCAGTAAGCTCCCTTTCCCATCAAACAAAAAAACCTCAGGTTAATGTACAGCCTCTTAAACGTAATGCAAACAAACTTTAAAAATACTGACAGGACATTATGTAATGGGAGCACATGGAGGGAAATAACCGTCCCGCGAATGAGGGCGAAGGCCAGAGGGTTTGATGAGTGGCAGAAAGTGGCGAGATTTCACAAAGGCAGGCTGGCAGAGAATCAACCAGAAGAGGATGGAGGTCAGAGAAAAGACCACCAGGGTGAAAGCAAGATTATTGGGTGTGTTGGAAGGATAATCTGGGTGCCTGACAGTCTGCAAAAACACAGATGGGTTAGAATCTCCATAATTAATGGCACTTTATATATAAAGAGAGAGACCTGTTTATTGGAACATCAGCTAATATCTTCGTGAACAACACTACATTCGACATAATGTGCATCTTGCTTGAAAGTCATTTAAATTTTTATTTTTCAAAATTTTTTTAGCTGTCACTGTCCTGTCCAAAAAAAATAAATAAACCAGCCAAAAAAAAAATATCATAATAGCAGGTGCAGTAATTCGTAACTTGAATGTGAGGTCTCATGAGATAAATTTTTTGTAGCTAAAAAGATTTCATAGATACTTTGAGATCTTGCTTGATATTGACAACTGATGATTCTTATGAAAATCATTTAAATGGGCTATAGGCTAAAATACCTTGCTAAGTTTCTTTGATGATTAGTGATGGGAAGTTCAGATCATTTTACCGACCCGGACCTTTGAGACTCGATCAGTGAGGTTGAATCTTTCTGAGTCATTTCATTCATTTTGCCTCAAATATTATTAAAATGATTCAAGTTGCATCCAAACTCATCTACAACTACACCAAATGTTAATCACACTAAATTAATCTTTTATTGTCTACCTGGTTGTTTGTCTATGATTATAGGTCATCTCTTCTGACAGGTCTTCAAATTTGAGTCGTTCGTTCACGTGTCACACAGACAGTCCCGTATAAAATTAACCAAAGCACATAGTCTGAGCCGAAAGGACCAATTATTAGTTCATCTTTTGAGTCATTTGTTCATAACAAGACAACATGTAAAAATAGATCACTCAAAACCCAAGTACTCAAGAAGTGAACAGATCAAATCTTTTTCTGGCTCTGACTGCTTATGCGCCTAAATGTGCGCATGTGCAAATGAACGAATCACTCCCCAAGAGGACTCATCATTCTCGAGTCATACAAAAGATTCATTCAAAATGAACTAATCATTCAAGAACAATATCACAATTGATGATGCATTTTTATCTCTCAGCCTCAATTCTTTGAGTTTGATCTCCATCCTAATCAGAAACGTATCATTATTCAAAAGGGCTACATGTAGAGTTCAGAAAACTATTAGCAACACAAGTGGCCATTAAATGAACAACAGCCAGAAATGTATTGCTTTTACTCACATTTGTGACACGCAACTGACAACTCACATCAAAGTTTTTATTTATTTATTCATTCTTAGATTGCAAGCAATACGTTACAGCAATATACTGATAACAAACATCCCAGACACAATAAAAATGTGATTCTTACATATTATGTAGTTTGTTTACTGCATATTTGTGCCTATAGCAGCTAATGAATCTATTGTCTTGTAGACACAAAGAAATTATCTTACTTTCATGTTGCAATATGATACATATAAAGCCAACTATTTATAACCATAAAAAGTACAGCAAATGAAAGCAGAAGAAATTATTGCCAACACATTGTGGTTCAAGGTCCGCAGGCTTTAATGAACTGTTCGCCTCAACCTGTTCATTAAATCAGTTTAGCAGGTATTATTACTGGCTGCGTTTGGTGCGCACAGTAGCCTTGTAATTAAATTTCATTCAGCCAAGGCCTTTGAAGGGAAAGGGAGGGATAGCCTGCTTATTTTGGAGGACGGACACAATATTTGAAAGGAGGAGGCAGTAGTCTGGAGTTGTCAGTAAAGTTTGAGAAGGAGTGAGATATACTGAAAAAAGTAAAAGTGTGTTTCTTTCTACGTGTGAAATCAAAACAGGTGCAATGTGAAATGACCCATCTCTAGTCAACTTTTCTGATTTGTTCTTTCACTAAACTGTAATCTCTTTATTTCGAGCCTCATTAGGCCCTTTGACTGTGAGCATTTTTGCCCCCATGCTGCGCTGCACTGATATCAACACTGGCTAAGCAGATCTGAGCTGGAGAAGCAAGCAGGAGGGGAAGAGATTGAGGGCTGTTTGCTGAAGACTTATAGGCAAAATTGATGCAAAAATGAAAATTCTATCTAAATGTATTTAAATTATTGTGTATTGTTTTCTGCAGAAAAAAGAAATAAAGTCAGTATGACAGAGAGAAGAAAAAAGATTTTGAAAGTATCACTTTAAGGATATTAAAATGTCATGGTTTATCAGTGTCCTCTAGTTTTATTAGCAGTATTATTATCAGCATTTTATTTTTTATTATTTTATTACATTTATTTTTATTTTATTTTTATATATATATTTTTTCATTTTATATTTTATTTTTTAATTAATTTTTAATTTTATATTTTTAATTTAATTTAATTTAATTTAATTATTATTTGTTTTTTAGTCTGCCAGTGCTGACTGTACAACAACCCCTGCTTTTTCAGTGATATTGGTCCAGGAGTATTTAATATTAAAGTATTTAATCATTCAATAAAAAGTTTATTACTAGTCTCTTTACTAGTCCTAAATGCTATTTCTATAATCAAACAAAAGTTTTCAACTAAAACTAAATCAATGAACTAAACAAGGCATTTTTCCCCTTAAATTAAAAAAAACATTAACTGAAGAGTGAAGGCATAACTAAACTTATTGTATTTCAGCAAGTTAATAAAAAAATCACAAACAAAGAAAAAACATCACTGATTTAACTTAAATATAAAATAACTAAAAGCTAAATAAATTTTTTAAAATTATTAAAACTATAGACATAAAAACATGACTGTGGCATTACTAGGATGACTGAAAACTGAAAAAGTTAAGCTATTAATAACCACTACAAAAAAAAAAACCCACACAGCTGTTAAAAACCACAAGAGCAGTTTTAAATTCAAATTTATCGTACAATAGTTTTGACTCCTCTAAATCATCATCAATGACCTGCTCTGATATGCTCTCAACCCTTTAACAACTGATCTGAAATATCTTTTTGACCACAAAGAATTGCACTTGTGAGACACAGAAAGGCCAAGACACAACAGTGGAAAATTGTGGTTGTCTACGTTTCAGACTTTGTCACAAGAACTATTATAACATTAAGACAAATGAACAATGGAAAAATGAGTGTTTGCACAGATTTACATTGTTGAGATGCAAAACAAACTCGTGTATCCTGTTACTGGCGTGTTTGTTTGTTCTCTCAGATGACAGCTTTATGTCTTGAGTTCTCGATTATAATGTAATATCTCACGAGAACCCAGATATAGACCAGATGTCCTTCTCCACGAACCTACAGTCATGACTCTACTTTTCATCTTTATCTCTTATTATATCAAATATGACACTCTGGGAAAATGATCCCCAAATCTGACCTCGCCGCCCAAAGAAATCATCACCTCTAAAGCCATCAACCACCTGCTGTCCCATGAAGCAACTCTCCAACAGCAACGTTCTGGACCCTAAGGATTCATACATAGTAATAGTCATCTCAACACATCATGAAATTCAATTAGCCGATGTTAAACAGCACCACTGCCCTCTGAAAGCTCTGAGTCTGCCAGTCTCAACACGGTGTCACCAGATACAGCTACAGCTGCTCTGCTTTTGCTCTGGGACAACAGAAGTGGAGATCAGGATCGCAAATGAGTGAAGGTCCAACTGCCACAAGAGTAGCTGGAAATGCAAACAATGTGTGCGTGTGCAAAAAATATGGAAAAAAAAGAAGGTATGGTTGGGGAATCAAATGGAATTAAAGATAAAGGAATGATAGAGTCATGAGAATACCGGTAATCCAGCCTGATCTCATGAAGAAGCGTAACTATTTTACGGTTTGTCAGTTTAGTGGCTAATTCGTGCGAATTCGAACGAGTTCAGTCGTTCGAAAATGTATACATTTTAAAAGGATTTGTGTCACCAAATCCCACCATCATTGGGGTTAGGCAAATCACAATAAATTGTTTTAATAAGATTGTACAGTTTCATAAGAATTAGCCTCTAAATCCAAAAACTATGCATTGCCGTGAGATAGCGTTGGGAAATCAGGAGCACTGTTCTCTGAAATACTTAATTCTCTGTACAATTTTGCCACAAATAAAAAAAAAATTGCAGTAAAGCAAAAATTTGTTTTAAATGTTGTAACAAATAAAATAAAATAAAATAAAATAAAATAAAATAAAATAAAAAATTAAATTAAATTGAATTGAATTGAATTGAATTAAATTAAATTAAATTAAATTAAATTAAATTAAATTAAATTAAATTAAATTAAATTAAATTAAATCAAAATTATGTTTTATATAAAAATATCCTGGCTTGCTTCATAATAAAGTTGGTATACTACTTAAAAATTGTACATTACAAAAATGGTACATTTTTAATTGCATTTTCATTATATACTATGGATACACTTTTCTCCTTAATTAATTATTTTTCTTTTTGGATGAAAGTGTAAATGCATAAACGTTCTATATCAAGAATATTATCTATAAAACTACATTTTACAGTTTTATTACATTAAGATTTTAATGCGCTTTAAATAAAAGCAAAGACTTTTAATGCATTTACATACCATTTATTTAATCAAATTTCTAAAAAAAATACAAATTACTAAAAAAATTTTATTATTTTTAATCATCTGATCATTTAATTATATGAGCCAGTTATTTAAAAAAAAAGTGTTATCTGTTTGTTAAACTACCCAGCAGGCACAAGAGGTCAGCATGAGATCAGATTGACCTTGTACCCCAACGTTGTGGGACATTGCATTTTGTTTGGAAATGAAAATCAGGTTGATGTTAGAACCAATAGTCAGGCCGACGTCAATGTTCAATCTCCAACCTAAAATCAACCAAATATCAGCATATAATGATGTTACAGCTTTATATTGTGTGTGGACGTTTCCAATATGACGTCTATAAGATGTTGGATTTTGGTTGCCATACCTGATGAATAACTGTCAGTATTTGACGTCAATATGACGTTGGTTTAGAATGTTGGCTTGACAATGGATTTTGGTCAGTTTCCAACACAACCTTAAACCAATCAAATATCAATGTCATTTCACATCATTATTGGCTGTCAAAATAACCTAAATGTAATAATATAATAACGTCTTATGATGTTGT